ATATATATATATATATATATATATATATATATATATATATATATATATATATATATATATATATATGCATTTATAGTTTTGACTTTTTCCAAACTAGAGGTGTGAAAACACCCTGCTGAGACAGGGGGGGTTTCATAACCCTTTAACTGTCTACATAACCCTTTTGACATCAGTTATGACATCCTGGCGCCAGGCCTGCGTCACCCATTCAAAGTAAACGGGAAGCGTTGACGCTGACGCCTCATGTGAATGGGGGTAAAACATATTCTGGAATAGTTAATGGTTCATTCCGCTGTGGCGACCACTGATTAATAAGGGACTACGCCGAAGGAAAATGAATGAATGAATAATTTCCTTTTTTCATCTTTATTTTTTAAACAAATGTGAAGATACATCCATGACAACACAAAGTTTCAGAGCTCCTCATTTTCCAAAGTGTTTTACATCTACACTCTCTCTTTACACTGTATCTGTGTACAAAACAATAAGTTATAGTCCCATAGATTCCTACTTACATTTAACTATACAACAAAGTTTTTAAACAGTGACCAAATAAATATCTGCCGTATAAAAAATGATCACGGAGAGGGGAGGAAGAGGAAAGGCTGATGGCGTGGATCTATTTTTTCATTATTTATTTTAGTAGGTGAGACGTTCAGTGCTATGAGGTCGAGTGAGCGTTTCCCGGGAAACCTCTGGCCAATCACATGCAAAGCTGGATATGACATCATCAACCTCAGGTTTATATATAAACAACACAACATTGCGCATTTCTGGTCAATTCCAGCTTTCTTGGACACGTTTGCGCAGTGAAAGGTTTCACGTTTGGAGTGAGGTCAAAAAGTCGACTATTAAGACAATTAGTGGGGGTTTTAGGAGGCTAAACTGTGTATGTGAACACAGCTCGAACATCACTATGACGTGGCCAGGATGAGATGGATATTGGCAAGGGTAAACATATTCAATGCACTGCTTCTGAATAAACTCTGCTAACACACACATACATACAACACACACACACACACACACACACACACACACACAGATATGAGCATTGGTAATCAACACGTAGTTTTGTCCTTTTTGATATAAAATCATATTGCATGTGTATACTGATGAATATTGGCCTGGTGCTGAACGATCTGATTGGCAAATTCATTCTGATAGTGTGTTACAAGTTGGCAAGATAGAAAGAAATAATAAAAAAATAAAATAAAAAACATGCCAGGGTCAAGTCAACCAAAAATCACAAGAGATTAAAATTATTAAATATATTTGTACTTATTTTTGGACATCTGCATCAGAACTTTGATAATTATTTTTGATTTAAAAAAGTAATAAATTAAATTATTATTTAACTTTAATTACTTTTTAATTAAAATAAATAATAATTATTAATTTTATAATTAATTATAAATGAAATTATTATTTTATTTTAATTGCTTAATTAAAATAAATGATAATTATTAATTTTATAATTAATTATAAATGAAATTATTATTTTATTTTAATTGCTTAATTAAAATAAATGATAATTATTATTTTATAATTAATTATAAATGAAATTATTATTTTATTTTAATTACTTATTAATTAAAATAAAATAATTAAAAATAATTAAAAAAATCTTAAAATTCTTAATTAAATGCACATTATTGTACTGCAATAAATACATATAAAAGTAAATATTACAGTATGAAAATCGCAGTCTTTTAAATCAAGATGATTAACAGGTTTTTTTAATTAAATGAAGCTGAAATAATCATGATAGTATTAAACTGGATTTTTGTGCCATTCTTAATTTAATATATTTTAATGTTTACATTTTTTATGTACTTTTTAAATGTAAACAATAAATAACGTTTTGTTATAATGTTTAGATATAACAGCATTACAATATTTTATACTTAAATCGTTGCTGTTGTGCTAAATTCGGTACCAATCAATACTGCAATTTTAAAAATGTCCATTTCCTGCTAATATTTGCTCGCTGTTGAGCAAAATCTTAAACACCACTGATTTACCATTGTGTTCACGTGCTCAACAGAAATGACTGTGATTGGCCATGAAGGTGATCAGTTCCCCAAACTAACTGCTGTTTACTGAGTGTAAACAATAGCTGTGTCTCATTTCAGAGGCTGCATCCTCTAAAGTATGCAAACTTCAAAGGCGAGTCCTTCAAAGTCCACACAGGCTGAACCGAGCGTTTTAAAATGAGTTGATCTAGCCTACAGAGGAAGGATCTTATCACCAGTCAACCGTAACAGCTGCTGTTAATAAGCGGTAATACAATTTTTAACGACTTTTTTTTTTTCCAAAGTGATTTTAAAACTTATTTTAAGTGATCTGAAGGCAAAGCAAGGTATACAGAAGCTGGTAATAAATTTCCTTTGATTCATATATATAAATATGTAAACTGTCTATGAAATCACTCTTTAGTAAGACAGTGTCATGCTCTTTGTTTTTCAACATGTGTTTAGATATCCAAGTAAAACAAACCTTCATACATTTAATCAGGAGTTTTCTATTAAAAGCGTTCTGCTGTTATCAGCACGCAATCTGAATCTCGGGACATTCGCAAAGGATCCACAGATTGTGTCCTTCATTATCTGGGAAACGAAGGATGCATTTCGAGGCTGCGTTTGAAGGAGCCTTCGATTTTTTTTTTAAGTGAGACAGCCTTTGTTGATGATGCAGCCTCTAAAATGAGACACAGCTACAGATACAGGGACACTGGAACGCTTCAAAATCACGTTGATCAGCTTGTCTGTCTATAAGACGACATATGAGCGACCCACTGATGAATCACTGCTTTTATTTTTTTTAGTGTCCATATATCTGCGGTTACACTCAGTAAACAGCGAGTGTGAACTGATCACCTTCACGGTCAATCAAAGTCATTTCTGTTGAGCATATATATATATATAGAGAGTTGAAGTCAGAATTATTTTTAACTATTTTAACTATTATTTTTTATTATTTTATTATTGTTTAACAGAGATATTTTTTCCAACACATTTCTAATCATAATAGTTCCAATAACTCATCTCTAATAACTGATTTATTTTATCTTTGCTATGATGACAGTAAATAATATTAGACTAGATATTTCTCAAGATGATGGTTTGCTCTGTAGACTATCGATAAAAAATATAGCTTAACTGGTCTAATAATTTTGGCCTTAAAATGGTGTTTAAAAAATTAAAAACTGCTTTTATTCTATCCGAAATAAAACAAATGAGACTTTCTCCAGAAGAAAAAACATTATCAGACATACTGTGAAAATTTCCTTGCTCTGATAAACATAATTTGGGAAATATTTAAGAAAGGAACAGAAATTAAAAGGGGGGGCTAATAATTCTGACTTCAACTGTGTATAATTATTTGCATTTTAAATAAAAGTCTGTAAAAGTAGAAACCAAAATAAACTATGTAATAATACTTCTCTTTTGCTTTTGGGCTTAAATATGACCCAGACATGCTCACAATAAAAGAGTTACCCTTTTAGTCAGCATTAAGTAAGCTCTGTGGTCCCATACATCCAAACAAAATGCATGTAAATCAACTTAAATCAACATACGAAATCATTTACCTGCTTATGAACAACAATCTCTCATTTCCCTGCAGAATTCCAGCTCTTAAAATGACACCTACAAGGAATTATCTGGTCTCACATTCCCAAAATGCACTGCTGCAGAGTAAAAGAAACAAATCTATTAATGTCCTGATGTGGGTTTGGTTTTTAGAAATGATTTCAAGAGTTCACACTTAGCTGATGATTGATTATAAAGCATGTTTGGCATGCTGTCCCAGAAGAAAAACCTGAGGTCAGAAGATCCTCGTGGCCGGGGCTCCCTCCCGTTTTATTGGGAGAGAGTGGAGTCTGAGCTCAGGCAGGTCTCGAGAACTAGTTTGCTTATGGCTTATGACAGATTATAGAGATTGCCATGGAGAGAAAAACTGCTGACTGAAAGTCATTGATAGGATTCTGACTACAAGCTCATCTATTGTGCCCATTTGGTTTGGTCATTGGACTGTGGGAGAAAACCGTGGAAAACCCACACGAGCACAGAGAGAACATGTAAACTCCACACAGAAACATCGACTGGCCTGGTAAGGACTCGAACCAGTGACATACATGCTGTGAGGTGACAGTGCTAACCACTGAGTCACTGTGCCAGCCTATCTAGGAAAAGGGAGAAGTGGTGGAAGGAGGGATAACTAAGATAAGAAACTCTGGTCATTTATAGTGACTTATGCATTTCTAATCAGATTAAGTCTATATTAGCTGATGTGGGACTGGCTGTGGTCAATCATAAGCATGTGATCCTCTCAAAATTTCTTCAGAAATAAGCTTGACTTATTCCTAATAAGTGAAGTTCACACTTAGCTGATGACTGATTATAAAGCATGTTTGGCATGCTGTCCCAGAAGAAAAACCTGAGGTCAGAAGATCCTCGTGGCCCGGGCTACCTCCCGTTTCATTGGGAGAGAGTGGAGTCTCATGTAGGTCTCGAGAACTAGTTTGCTAATGACAGATTATAGAGGTTGCTATGGAGAGATGAACTGCTGACTTAAAGTCATTGATAGGATTCTGACTACAAGCTCATCTATTGGGCCCATTTGCTTGGTCAGTTCACTTATGTTGCATGTCTTTGGACTGTGGGAGGAAACCGTGGAAAACCCACGCGAGCACGGAGAGAACATGTAAACTCCACACAGAA